TACAGCACAATTTTTCATATCTCTGGTTGTATACAAAGTATATTCACACCAATTCGTGTCTTCATACCTATACTTTGGATAATAATGTTCATCACATTCCACCATAATTTCTTCCCAATACTATTTATTTAAGAAACTTTTCTTTTCCTATTATGTGTTCTTGGCATCTTTGTTGATTATCAATTGACCATAAATACATGGGTCTATTTCTAGGTTTTCTATCCTGTTTCATCGGTCTGTGGTCTGTTTTTATGCTAGTACCATGCTGTTTCTGTTACATTAGCTATATAATATATGTTGAAGTCAGGGAGCGTGTTGCCTTTCTCCAGCTTTCTTTTTTTCTTGCTCAAGTTTTTTTTTTTTTTAATATTTGAGTCTTTTCTATTTCCACATGATTTTTTTTTCTATTTCTGTGAAAAATGACACTGGAATTTTGAAAGGAATTGCATTAAATCTGTAAATTGCTTTGGGTTGTATGGGCATTTGAATAATTAATATTGTTCAAATAATTCTTCCAGTCCATGAATGGAATATCTTTCCATTTATTTGTGTCTTATTCAGTGTCCTTCATCAATTTCTGAGTTTTTGCTGCACAGATCTTTCACCTTCTTGATCTGAAGCTGAGGTCACTTACCCTAAAATATTTTTTATGCTATTGTAAATGGGGTTTTCTTATTTATCTTTTGGATAATTCATTGTTAGTGCATAGAAAGGCTACTGATTTTTGTCTATTAACTTTTTTCACCTGTAACCTTATACTGTTACTTATTTTATACATATACAAAGGACTGAACTTTCCAAAGCTTTATTTAAACTTATTATGTTCTAAAATTTTCTAACAGAGAGACTAAGGCAAGATTTAAGTCAATCACAGGTAAATGTGAGGGCAAAGGAAAACAGGACAGGAAGGTTTGGGAAACAAATGCAAGGTGATGTGTTGCCATGCTGGCCAATACTTTTTGACCAGTCATAAGAGACACAGCTGGCCCCTGAGTAGGTGCTCCTGTTTGGCCATGAGGGATATTTTCAGATAAGCTGCAAGGAAACCATGCCATGGAACAGTCCATGGAGGAAGGAAGAAGGAATTTCTGTTGCCCTTCTCAAATTTTAACACACCTATATATATGGGTTGTATCATTTGTCCTTCTCAGCAGATTCTGGGGAAGCTAGATCTCAAGCTTTGCAGTGTTTAGAAATTGTGGGAAGAGCTCAGAGTGGGACCCTGCAGTAGCTGAGTGTCACAGAGACAGGAGGGGCCATGAGAGTCTGAGGGGGCCCATAAGATATATTTAATACAAGTATTCCCTTGTATCTCTTAATTTAGTTCATTATACCTAAAAAGCTTTACAATTGATCAATCCATCTAGATTGATGATAAAAATGTTCTTTTTGTGGGGAGACATTAATGCATAGCAAGAATCCAGCCTCTCGTTCTAAACTACCTGGGTTTGAATACCAGCTCTGACACTGAGTGGCTGTGTGACTCTAGTCAAGGCATTTCATATGTTGATACCTCAGTTTTCTCATTTGTAACATGAGACTAATACTTAAAATCATACTTGACACCTAGCAAGAACTACACGAGCAATAAAATTACTGTAGCTAGCTTTGAATATATTATTATTGTTATTATTATTATATTTGGCTTTTATTAGCCCAGCACTGTATTAAGTGCTTTATACCTATAAGTTCAATTAATCTCCCGGCAGCCATAGGAAGTAGGCTGTACTGTGAATCCTATGAGAGGTATTATTAGCATTCCTATTCTACAAGGTAGTTTTGCTCTACTTCATGCTCCCACCATGAGGTGCTGCCTCACCACAAGTCCAAACAATGGTGCCCACCAATCATAGGCTGAAACCTCCAACACTATGAGCCAAGGTAAATCTTTTATCTTTGTAAATTGATTTTCTCAGGTATTTGTTATTGAGATATAAAGCCAACTAACATAATTTGGATGCCTTTAAATATATATCTCCAGCTTAGACTTATTTACTTAGTAGAATCCTGGGCTTAGATGTTCCACAGGCATCTCAAATTCAAAAGGTTAGAATTGAACAGTTTTGTTTCCATAAAACATGTATGTTCTTCTTTTTTTTTTTTTTAAATATGTATGTTCTGTTGGGAATTACTCTATTCTCAGATAAGACTGGTGTAGGGAGTGTGACAACCATTCACCTCAGCTAGCAGGCTATTGTCATCCTTGATTTTCTCTCTTCTTTATCTTCCACATGCATAAGTTTACAAGTCCTGTCAACATTTTATCTCATTTCTGGTATTTTCCCCTCCTCTCTGCCCTTATTGCTAATGCCCTAGTTTGGTTTCTTGACTGAATCAGACTGCCTGGACTGCTTCAAAAGTCCATTTTCTGTTGYTAATAATGTAAAACAACAGACTGAGTAAGTTATAAAGAAAAGTGATTTATTTTGACTCACAGTTCTAAGGTATAAATTCTAGGGGCCTTGTCTGCTGGTGACCTTCTTGCTAGCAGAGTCCAAGGCAGCACAGGATATTGCATGGCAAGAGTCAGGAGTATGAGGGTGTGTATGTGTCTCTCTGGTCTGTCTCCCTCTTCTTAGAAAGCCACTGGAGATGAGGGGGCTCCAGTCTAATGACCTTATCTAATTCTTATCATTTCCCAAAGATCCCACCTCTAAACACCATAGTTGGATTATTTTTTCATCCTCCTACTATCTCATATCCAAACCATAGCAAGAATCTTTCAAATACTTTTACCTTTGGCTTGGCATCCTCAAATCTAGCCTCATCATTGATGCCAAGTTGTACTTCTAAATACAAACCTGACTAAATAACACTTCTACTTAAAACGATGCATTGACTCCCCATTGCCTAAGAATAAAGTTCTATCTTCTTGGCATGACCTCCATGGACATCTAACACCTGGCTTCAGCTGCTTTCTGCAGTGCCTTCACTTAACAATCCCTGCCAGACTCCTTAAACTTTAGTCACAAAAAAGAGCTTGCAGTTCTTTTGAGTCGCCTTGTTTCTTGCCTCCATTCCTTTATTAATACTACCTTCTCTGCCCAATTTTTCTATTCCTTCACCTTATCTGGCTAATTTCTTCTATCCTTTTAGACTTAGTACATAAATCACATCTTTGGGGAAGTCATTTTTTTTTTTTTTGTCATGGGTGACAAAAAAAAAAAAAAAACCCTGGAGATATACTTATCCATTTGTACATCTGTGTCACAATTAGATTGCAGGTTCTCTGAAGTTTGTGGCTGTGCATTATTTCTTTACATATGCCTGTGCCTATCAGTGGCATACAGTAGGTACTTTTAAACTAAATGTTGAACAAATGAATGAATAAATCATTAATGTAAAGCTATTTTATATCTGAAAATATTTCACTTACCAAATAAGGCAGAAGAAGAATAATCAGTGTTAATGAAAAAGATTTCTTCTCAGGTTGGTTATGAGTAGCAGCAGGCATAGTGATATTTGAATGGCACTGTGAGATCTGGAGGTACTCAAAGTTAATTGAGTCCCAAAAGAAAAACCTGGAAGTCTCTGTTAGTAGAGCTGCTGTCATAGGGGATGTCTAGAATTTTTATATAGTACCACAAGAAACCTAGCAAGACTTCCACGTGCACAAAACTCTCATTTCAGTTAAGCCTTCTATGTTTATAGGAAGTCTTATTTTCTGAATGAAAAATCATTTGTTACACCTTGTTAAGTTAATAACATACAGGTTCTTTGTCTGAATATGTTAAAAAAAAAAAAAAAGGAGCAGTGGAGCAAGCCACAATTACAATTCTTTTTTCTTCTCTTACGTGGATTTTCTTTCCAGGGCTTTCATGAAGACCCTGAATCTAGCTGCAGCAGAAAGACAAGACAGAATGGTTATTTCTCCTGAAGCGAATTTATGTACTTCAGGTGTCATTAGGGTTCCTTGTGTAGTTAAACTAATAGTAAGTAATAATGATGGTAAAAAAGAAAGTGAACAGCTGATAGTAACTATTATAATTATATAGAAGTTACTATTCTTGGATGTCCACCGAATGGCAGGTGCTAATTACAAAGTACATTTATGTTTCGAAACAACCTTCTAAATAGAATTTTTTTTTTCCATTTTTCAACTTGAGCAACTAAAGTTCCAAAAGTTCCAACAATTTGGGGGTAGGTCCAAGGAACGCACTGGGAAGACTGTGGGGCCAAAGGCCATTGCTGGTGTAACCAGTCTCTTCCAGAAAATTTGTTACCTGCTAGCGCGTATGTGATGGCAGGGCGGATTAGTTGGATAATCCGATGAAGCTAAGAAACTAAATGTCCAAAGTGGTGAAAAGGCGAAGCAACTAAGCMCTGTAGGAAGGTACAATCATAAGACACACAGCCTCCAGCTAAGAGCCTAGAAAAGGGACGGACTAGGTGGCTGGCTCCACCGAGAACTTAGGTAGGAGGACGAGGGGCGGGGCCTGGGCGGGAACTCCGGGGAACGTGCAGACCATTTGTGTACTGCCCAGAAATGCCGCCTGTCCCGGGAACGTAAAGGTGAGGGGAAAGTGAGTGTAGACATTGTAAACATCTCGGTGACTTTTTGAGGCAGATCATCCTCAGCTGTGCTACACCAAAGAAAAGTTTCTTTTATGCTCGCCTGAGGTGGCTTTCTGGTACAGTAGGCAAACAGGTGACGGGGAGAAGGACGGACGCAAAGGACGCCATCCCCCCTCGGCGTATTGGTATGGCCCATCCCCCGCCGCTGATCTGGCAGGCTGCGCGCGCACCCCGCGGCGGGGCGCGGGCCGGCGGGGAGCTGTGGCCTCCGCTGCCCGCCTCCGTCGGCAACCGGGTTGCCTCCTCCCGCTCCTCGCGTGCTCCTCGCCGGCCCAGCGCCCGTCAGCTTGCGCGTCCGCGCTGGTGGGGAGGAGCGCGCAGCGGGGGCGCGCTGTGGTGACTCCGCCCCCCAGCTCCCCTCCCCTGAGTCCCGGAGCCCGGCTAGCGCGGCTCGGTGTGAGGAGACTGGGGACCCCACGCCCGCGTGCCCGCCCCAGTGCCCCCGCCCCAGCGTGCGAGGTGCCGCGCCCTCCTGCTGCCCTGCCTGGTGCATGGAGGGGCCTGTTCGGATCGCAGCCGCCAACGCCGCCAGCGCTCTGGGGGATGACCTGGGGGTGGCTTTCGGAGCCGGCTGCCGCGCAAGAGGTCTGGGGGCTTAGCCAGCCCAGCCAAGAGGTGCGGGGGCGGGGGTCCCGTGGCTGGGTCGGAGAATGGGGTGAACTGGGGAGACCGGGCTTGGGGGCCACGCCGCTTGGGAGCGGGATGTCTTGGGGAAAGTCAGGCCAGCGTGCCCTGGAGGGCGTGGGGGTTCTGGACTGCTTATGTGGTTGGACAGGGCAGCTGATGGGTGCCCAGCGGGGAGCTCCGAGGTTCCCCATCCTCAGACAGTCCGAGCCACATCGTGGGAGGAGGCGGGGTGAGGTGTCAGTGACTTGATGAAATCTGTCTTTGACGATGATCCGCTGGGGCAGGTGGGATGCAGTGTAGCTGCTAGCGAGGGGCGCCAGCGCATTTTCCCAAGGGAGCCGGGTCCATCGTCTCTCTCCATCCCTGCAGAGTGCCGGCGAGAGACAGTGATTTATGTGTAGGGAGAAGCAAGAGAAATTTCCTGCACAATGTATCTTTCTCTGCCTTCACAGACTCAGTGACTTCCCAGCCCCAGGGAGTGTATTTTTCCTTCTTCTCTGTAAAGCATTCTGTGGATTGCATTATCATTTGCTAAATACATTACAGCTCGCTATTTATTTCAGTCTGCAGCTTCCAGACCTTTGTTGCCTTTTCTCCACATCTAGGAATTCCAGTAATAAATCACCAAGGGGGATAGATAGACTCTTTTGCCCTTCCCTTCATTGTTCTCCCTAACCCCACCAAATCAGGTGGAAGACTGTCCGAAAGGAGCCACAGAATGCGCCTGCCTTCCCCTGGTGGGGACGACAGAGGGTGGCAGGTGCTTTAAGGGCAGGCTGCTCTTCAGTTGGGATCTAGAGTTTAGGGAGCCTCATTAACAGAATGTCAGCCTTTGTGTCCTAAATCAGACACCTTGAAAAACAGGAGGTTGAACTAAAAGGCAATATGAGATTTATTCTCAGGCCATTGCCAGGAAAGATGAAAGAGGACAAGTTAGTTAATTCTGATTCCATGCCTCACTGATACCATAACTCTCAGATTCCCAATTGACATTTGGCATACTTAATGGACAGTGTCTGCAAGAAGAAGGTGGAGTGGGGACTGGAAAACATAATATTTTTTTCTCCCTTAGTGTAATTCTAGTCATTCTGTTACATTTTATAGCTCTTTTTCTTCTAGTAGTCTATTTTTAGCTGAAAATGGATGGGGGCAGTTTAGCTTTTAGGATAAAATGAAAGAAAACCTTCAGAAAATTTCTGAAAATTTTAAATTAGTGCTCAACTAGAAAGAATTCTTAGGAACCTAAAGAGGCACCAAATACTGTAGTCTCTGTTATGCACATGTTGAAATAAACTGCCACATACTTTAAGTTATATGAGAAGGATGGAGAAAACCTGTTTCATTTTGTAAAGACATGCTCTGGATAAGTGTTCTGCAGTGTGTGGAGCAGAAACATTTATATTTCTATAAAACACACATACACAAATGTATATTGTTTAACTTTCATGGAAAAACTCGGATATAGTATTTGGGAAATCTGTCTTTGTTTGAATAGTTTAGTCAACCAAGAAAATCACTACTAGAGGTAGTGTGCTATTGTTTGTATAGTAACTCACTTGGGATGCTTTGATTGATTGCTACGGCTCTCATCAACCTACTCTTCTGTGCAAAGTACTTAAACAGCTTTGACTCTCAAACAGAAAGTAGAAAGAACCCTTAGGACTTGGAGCATTATGATCTAGCTTGTGTGGGTTACCCTCAAATTACGTCTTCTACTTTGCCTTCTTTGCAGGTGGTTTGACTTTAGGACAGGCCTGCCCCCAACCCCCTCATGAAGGTATATATGGACTTGGGCGTTTTGTAGGAATAGAAACTCTATTATAGGACTTTGCTCTAAAGAGGTCAGGTAAAATTTAATAAGTAGCTCATGTTTTCCTCTTATTTTTCTGCTTTGCTTGGATACTTTCATGGCTTTCTAGACTATTTCATATATGGTTTTGTCAAAATGTAAATTGAGATGAAATTTTTCTTCTCTAGAGATGTTTCTTTTGTGAACATAAAGACTGAAATTTGATGATTGCTTCTAAATAAAATGCTGAGGAAATGATTTCAGCAATTAAACTATCTTAGTAAAATCATGAAGGGAATAGAGAATAAAAAATAATGAATGCGAAAATTTGTTGTTTGAAGGCATAATTACGTTAACTAACCCTCTATGATAGCATTGATACTATGCAGAAGTATGGATAAGACAACACATTAGAAGTGTAGGTGAATTGTCTACCAAGTAAGCTTTCTTTAGACAAATGATCTTACTACTTAATACAAACTAATTAGGTGAGAAATAGAATTTGGAGACTGCTTGATAAATGAATTACTTTGAAGGACTTGCTTTACAGTGTTTTATGGATTGGTGCTTTTTTCAGGAAATCTTATGAACTGGATTGAATTAGAAAATGTTTTATAGTTTTTACTTAAGATTTTATATTGTATGTAAACATTCTCTGTGATAAGTTTTTGTTGTGTATTTGGCTCAAGTTCACTGATTCAAGAGTATGATGGGTGAGGAAGGCTTACCTGATTGTTCCCTGTTAAAATCAAGAGATGGTATATGAAATATACTTAATGTCACTTTAAAAATATTATATTACAATGAAATGAAAAACTGGTTTGTTGGTTTTTCTTTCATTTTTTTTTAATCCCTCAAGTTTTTTTCTCATTGTTTGTGCTCCTTCCCTCCATTGTCAGGCTTAAAACATACAGTATCATTGTCATCTGTCCCCTGAATAATGGTCCTGAGGTGATATTATTAATGTGGCTTTTTAAAATCAAACTAATTATACTTGCCTAAAAGAGCCACATGTGTGTGATTCTAGCTGCCTGGTGCCTTTTGAGAGCCCTGGAGACAAGCTAGTGAATAGAGCTGAAAATTCATTCTGTATTTGATTAAATGGAACAGACTCGCTGCTCCTTACCCCAGCAGGGGCTATGAGATCTCTTGATCCCCGAAGCGGCTCCAAGACCCTGGGAATTCCATTAGCGAGCACCTGAGGAATTTCTGCCCTGCAGTGCCTTTTTTGAATGTGTGTATGTGTGTGTGTAGAGAGGGAGTAGAGCTGAGTGGCGATGGGGGGGGGTGGGTGGGTGGGGCGGAGAGAAGGCTGCATTGGAAGGCTCCATATGTTAGCAGATCTGAAATCAAGGCATGACTTAATAGCTTATCTTGTAAGGGAAAAGCCCAAACCCAAGGCAGATTGCGATTGGGAACTTTATTCCAAGCAGGACTGTGGTGATGTGTTTTGAGCACTGAAGTGACTCCCCAGTGTAAGTACAGGAAGGCACTTTCCCTCTGCAGCACAAGCATATACACGTTGTAGACTTGGTAAGTTTTCTTTGAATGATCTTTTGATAAATATGTAAAATTGTGTTATAGTTTGTTCTGATGTCTTGTGTAATAACTCTTCAAGAGCAAAGTCAGACTTTCGCAGAGATGAAGTGCTTGTTTGAATAGGCATCTTTTGGTTTATACTTTTGTTTTGATATGATCTTATTGTTTTTGTTATATTGTTGCTAGATAATTGAAATTAGAGTGCATCTCTGTTGCTTTTGAAGAATTCTGTAGGATTTCTAGTATTTTTGAAGCGTTTCTCTGCAGTCTTGCTAACATGTTCCCCCCAGTAAGTAAAAATATATCTACCAAAAACATTCTTAAAATCTTTGGAACAAAAACAAAAAATCTTTGGAACAAAATTTTCAAGAAATATTAATGTGTCTTCCTTTCCCTTCCCCTGTTCCCCTTCCATAAATAATTTTTGGAAGCAAATATTTTTTCAGAGTATTAGTCCCGTTTATGTCTTGTATACTTTAAAGGGAGTACCAGTTCTGATTTGTGGGTGGCATAGTTAATTGATTTTCTTCTTCTGAGAATGTGAATTCCAGTGCTAATAGTTTTCAACTAATCCAGAGTTCAGTAGCCTGTTTGATGGTTAATTTGATATATTTTGTTACTGACCGGAATCGTGTTGTATGGAGTGCACAATTCTTTTCATGCTATTCGCATATAGTCCTATGCCTAATTCTCCTCACAAAACAGTGTGTTTAGAAAATAAAGAAGCCTTTTTGAGAATATGTTAAATTTTTTTCCACCTTAATCCTGGGCATGCCTCCTACTAGTAGGGCCAAATTGAAAGGAGTCTCCAATAAATTGGAGTAAACACTAAGTGCCCGTCCTGGTTCATAGTTTAGTTGCTTTGCTAAGTGATAAATATTGATGGCCAGAGATGATTTAAAAAAAACTACCCTATAGAATATTTGGTTCTGCTGTGTATCAGTTGGAATGTGAGTAGGAACTTCAGTTCTTGGGAGCTAGTGATGTATTCTATTATTGAACTTTTTAGGTTACATATTCTGTTCATGTTTTCTTGCTTAGAACTGTGTGGTTGATTTTATTTTTGTATTAACCTAATAAACAGAATTTAAAAGTTGACATAAAGCTTGTTTTTTAGCTATTTTTGTTACAGAGTGGCTTACCTCTTCTTATTTATGTGAACTTGGGCAATGATCTTGACCTGGCCTTGGAATCTTAAAGTGTAAAACGGGGATAAAATCAGTAGTCTCTCTTACCACTGTGGTGGGGATAAATGAGATAATGAAAGTAAAGCGTTTGTCAGATAGTAAAACCTCTATAAATGTTAGCTGCTGTTGTTTTTATTAACTCCTCCTGTGCCTATTCATGTGTTACTTTGATCCAGAAGTGATTTCTTTGAAGTACTAAATAATGAGGAATTCTTGGAAGTTAATAAGAGTACAGCACAAATAACTGCTGGAGTTTTAGTATGTCAGTTTTCTTAAATTTCCAGTTAAAACTTAGCACTTGGAAACAAGTTGATTTTTTTTTTTCCTGTTTGAGGTAAAATATTGTTGTATACACAAGTGTATAGCTAATACACACAGAGGGAACAGCCAAATGAATTGTTACATTTACACACACCTGTGATTTTGATTTGATCAAAATCAAAATGATTTTGATTTGATCAAGATAGTATTTG